CCATTAATTCTTTCCATTTGAATATATTAATAAAACAGCCACATACTTTCCTAGCAACTACTTTCCAGTTTCCACATCTTACAGGAAAAACTGCTAAAATTCCTAATTTACCTGCTGCAAGAAAGGGCAAAAGCCCAGGAAAAACACCCTACATATTACAGAGAGAAAGCATCTCCTCAGTACCACCACTGTAACATTACAAGTTTATGCAACATACATTTTACTATTATTTGGCAATGCGTATTTTATGTCTCTATACAGGAAAAGGACTTCAATGTCTGTTGGCAAGCTCCTAAAGAAGGGGCTTCCATTTCAGAAGAGCTGATGACCGAAGAATGTTACAATTTGATACGTACAAAATACAGTTCAAACACTGAAGCTTTAGACTTTTACCTGTTGGCTGTCTAAACCTGAATACATTGCTTGCAGTGATTCAAGTATGTAAATACAGAGAATTTCACGAAGTCTCTGTAGAACTTGTCTAACAAAATGTTGCTGTATTTGATTATTTGTGGAGTCTTAGAACAGCATTTGTGAATTACCATGACTATGAAATGTAATTATATGCTTATTGCTGAAAAAGAGATTTACTCAGTTAACCAGGGATTTAGTTCTGAATAACAAATATAGCCTGATAACATATAGGATTAGAATAGCAGCTTCAAAAGAAAGCCGTGGGTAAAACCAGTATTTTTTTATAACATAAGAATTATTTAAAATCTTTCTGAATTATCACTTGCATTTGCATTAAAGCCTTTGACAGAGGAAAAGATTTCTTTTGCTCTTTTGGATTCAGTGAAGTAATTCGCAACTACTTACATGGCCTTACATAATGTCTGAAATTAATTTGAGTTGATAATTTACTATCCGTCTTGATATTGTCTATTCCATTGTCTTTGAAAGCAATAATTAATAGCAGGATTACAAACAGTACTACAGAAATCTTTGAATTATTTTAAAGACGCTCCCTTCCCACAAATAATATTCCTCTTCTGTGCCTACATCCTGTTCCATGTACATATGCACCACTACAACAGAGGAGTTTGAGTAAAATGAAAACACTATTTGGTGTTTAAGCCAAGTTTTCCTAACTTCTGTCGGGTAGAAAGCCCTTTAAATAAAGAACTGTAATACTAACCATATGAAAGAAAAATCAAAACTATACATCCTGGACAAGCATCAAGAAACACTTAAATACTACCAGTTTTACAGATAAACATTGGCTTTAACGAATGCTTAATAATTTAGCGCATATGCCTAAGTGCTACCCTGAATAAAGATTCAGACTTAAAAGACTACAGAGCAAAACACAGACACTAAGGACAATGTCTAAACGTTACCAAACAGAAAGAGTTCATTCAAGTATGCAAATGCATTTATCGGTAATGGTGTAAGAGCCTACAATCATCAAAAGGAAAGATGAGAAGAAACCATCAAATACAAGAACCGAACAAATCATTGAGAAAACAACTTGTGTGTTCCATTTACTTCTAATTGCACAACAGATTTTATTGCATATAATCACAATAATTATTCTAGATACCTGAAAAAAAACACTATACAATTTTTCTAAACAGTAACACTGTATTATATCAGAACATTTTACTGCACAAATGTACACAGTAGAATACCATCTAGACTACATACACGTCCTCCATCAAAATTTAAAAAAACTAGTTTCAATCATACAATCCACTAATTATAGAAGCAGTTCCTCCAAAATATTAAATGCCTTTAAACAGTTGCACTCATCCATTAATGAGTACATTCCTTAATTTTACAAACAAATTATATTTATAATATTTTAAATATGGGCATATATACACAATTTATATATATGTCTATATACACACAGATTACAGCAGCATTCCAGTACCTGAAAGGGGACTACAAGAAAGCTGGAGAGGGGCTTTTGACAAGGGCATGTAGTGATAGGACAAGGCGTAATGCCTTTAAACTGAAAGAGGGTACATTTAGGTTAGACATTAAGGAAGAAATTCTTTACTCTGAGGGTGGTGAGGCACTGGCACAGGTTGTCAGGTTGTCCGGAGAAGCTGTGGATGCCCCTGCGCTGGCAGTGTTGGCCCCCAGGCCAGGTTGGATGGGGCTTTGAGCAACCTGCTCTAGTGAAAGGTGTCTCTGCCCACGGCAGGGGGGCTGGAACTAGATGATCTTTAAGGTCCCTTCCAACCCAAACCATTCTATGATTCTATGATTATTATTTGCTGGAGAAGGTTCCTTTCTGGAGGGCTAGCATTCAAAAATTCCTTGTGACTATCTTCAATTTACATAGGTGCTAACAAATAAACACTGTAATTTGGATGATATAAAAGGAGTGTGGGTTGTTCTGGTTTGCTGTCTTTTGGTGGGTTTGGTTTTATTTTTTGTCTTGTTTGTTCAGTGGCTAAATTTCTTTTTCCATCATATGTTACCAGGACAAAATCAGTACATCTGCACTACAATATTAAATATGTCTTGAGACATATTAAATATGTCTCTCTTGGAGAGAGTCCAGCGGAGAGCTACGAGGATAGTGAGGGGACTGGAGCATCTCTCCTATGAGGAAAGGCTGAGGGAGCTGGGCTTGTTAAGCCTGAAGAAGAGAAGGCTGAGAGGGGACCTGATAAATGCCCATAAATATCTCACGGGTGGGTGTCAGGAGGATGGGGTCAAACTCTTTTCAGTGGTGCCCAGCAATAGGACAAGGGGCAACGGGCACAAACTGAAGCATAGGAAGTTCCACCTGAACATGAGGAAGAACTTCTTCACTCTGAGGGTGACGGAGCCGTGAAACAGGCTGCCCAGGGAGGCTGTGGAGTCTCCTTCTCTGGAGATATTCAAGACCCACCTGGACAAGGCCCTGTGCCGCCTGCTGCAGCTGACCCTGCTTCAGCAGGGGGGTTGGACTAGATGACTCATAGAGGTCCCTTCCAACCCCTGTAGAACGTAGAACTTTGCTTTCACAGTCAAGCACTGTGGTATTCCAAAGCTCTGAAATCCAAGAGGCTATAGGGTTCTTTTAGCTGTTTCTAAGCCAAATATTTGCTGAACGAGTGGACTTGTTTTTTTTATTTGTTCAGTGGCAACATTTCTTCTTCCAATGTAACTTACCAGGACAAGAGCAGTACATCTACATTACTATACTAAATATGCCTTGAAATGTTGTGAAGCCTGTAATGCTTCTAACATAGAGATATGTAGATCTTTACTTCAGCAGTCATGGTCTATGACATTCCAGACCGTTTCCATGTAATCCATAAGTCCCTTACTTCTGCTGTCTTCAACAACAGTAAATCTTTGAGTTTGTCTCAAAAATAACGCGGTCACATTCAAAGACAATAATCCTGAGCCAGTAAATCGGGCAACAGCTTGAAGTAGCCACAAACACATAATTTCCCAACAGTACACAATCGTCTCCTTCCAGAAGCTTTCACATGACATTGCTCCTGCTGCTGTGCCCAACCTATCACGGTCCTAGAATAAGAAGTCTGATTGGAGGTTGAACGAACATACGTGACCTACAGTGTTCAAAATTGTCTGTGGCAGCCACTGGTAACCCACATAAAAATACAACCAGTGTACTTCATGACCTGAAGCAGACCACAGCCAAAGAGTCCCACAAAGTGAAGACAGAAGCATGCCTTGAAATCTATTTATTAGTCCACCTTTCTGAGCTGCAACCACTACAATTTAGAAATAGTTCAGAAATTGAATTAACAATTAAATTTTGAGAATCAGTTGTCAAAACTTATTTTGCCTCTCAAGGTACTTGTATTTATGATAGAAAGTACTTGTTTTAGTTCACAATTTAACAGCTGGCTAGCTAAAGTGACGGACTGTCAAGTTTAGTACTTACATATGTTAAGTGTACAAAATACAAATCTTTTTCCTGTGTAATAAATCATCGATGAATTCTCTAACTGCACCAAACAAAAGAATATACCTGTGTTTAAAATATGGTGACTAAACTAAACTAATGGTTCCACAATGTCATATACCAGGTAGTAAAAAGGACAAACAAAAAAACCTTGCAAGGAAATACCACAAATGTGGAGAAGTAATTTAAAATTTGATGTGCCCTATCAATGGAAAGGCTTGTATAATTTATGTAATGCTACTTCTAAATTTTTAAAAAGTACAATAATGGCAAAGGCAGTAACTTCTATTTTAAAATAATTTCAAATATATTTTGTTCTAGGCTAAGATTTATAGCCCAATGTAAATCAAGGCACCTACTGATATGAAGATTACATGTTTACTGCAACACTAATGGATGTTCTTTCCACTCAATTTCCTTTGAGTGTAGTCTGCATTACACATAGATTTCTAGTGTCTAACAAATCTAAAAAACAACCAAAACAGGAGACTGGAACTGTTCTTTTTTTTACCTTAGTACTTTTTGTTGCCTACTTCAGAGTTAGCAGTTTTGCCTCATCTACAGTTTGCTTGAACATCTATTTTCAATCAACTCTGCATTAACAGCAGCATATTTCCTTCTGCTTATACTTCACAACTTCATTTCTCTCACACAGAGGGCGAATTTGCCTCTCCTACAGAGGGCAAATGACCTTGACAGGGCATGACTCATTCTGTCTGTTCTCTAACTCCTAACCTAGCATGCAAACAGACTTGAGTTTGCATATTTTACAAGTCTATACTGTTACCAAGACAGTAAGGGTTACGAACTTCAGCCGTGTTGTGTGATTCAGTTGAAATGATCAAGTTCTGAAATGTTAATTTTTCTTTGTTTTTTTCCTGTTCTTCTAAGTTAGGACAATGCTGCCTACAAAACAACTTGGAAAGCATCCAGTTCAATTTGTTTGGTCTTTGTGACAAGCTTGCTCTTCAGACAGCAACTTTCACAGACAGTTACTTTTTATCCCTCCATGTAAATATGCTCCAGTTGCAATCTGCCAGATAATAAAGTCTAGATGTTACCCATGGATTCTGCAAGTCAATTAAATGCTTTAATTCACACAGTGGCCAGTGCAGATTAATACTTTTTATAAAGCGATACATCTGCTGCGGCATTATATAATCTCCAGCCACGCGGAAGCAAGCAGCAGGACTCAGCCTCTTGACGAACATGCTGCTGCTTCAGGCCATGCCCTGTCACACTTTAAAATTAAAATGGCGATTCAACCAGACTATTAAAACAGCGATGCCTCGATTCACAGTCCCTCCTAGAACCATTTAGCAGTGGAATTCATGACATTGAGAGCAAACTGCGGGTAAAACTTTAACAAGCATAACCCCACCGAGGGGCGAGGGAGAAGCCATTTGCGGGCATCAGCTTGCATTTTCTCCGGAACTGCAACATCCTCCTCTGCGATCGGCGGCACATCCCTTCCGCCCCTGACCAGAAGGGGTTTCGGACGGTCCCAGGCAAGCCCGGGCGGGGGGTGCCCGTTATTGCTGCGGGCAGACGGAGGGAGGC